CATTTTAAAAGGCAGGAAACAGCAAATCGCATTCGACAAATTTTGAATGAAATAGAGATCAGTGAGTCTCAGAGTTCAGTGGGGTTTATAGACAAAGAAAAGGTAAAAAAATGTGTCCCCTAAAGACAGTTAGCTGATGAGAATTTTGCATTCCAAGCAACAAGATTTTCTCACTATTATTCCCCTCGCCCACTGTTCTTTGTATAAGTAACATAAAATTCAATTGAATTTTCGCCTCTGTTTAATAGCGTAATACTTTTTTCCTTTATATTTAATGATTTACATCGGTTTCAGATTATGAACATGTGCAAATCCTACTGTTGTAAAATTTACATAACTAATCATCTGCGGTTCCAGGAAAAAAATTAATCCATTTTACATTAATTTCTATGGGAAAAATAGTTTCGGTATACGAAGATTTCGGGCGACAAAACACTGTTCCGGAACGAATTAAATTTGTAACTCCAAGTTTCATTGCACATTAATAAAATTACGAAATAATAACAAAGATAAATAATAAATGGAAAATTACGTTATACAACGTTTTATAACAAAACGTTTTCGCTATTTACTAGTTTATCAGGGTGATATCGATACTCCATTTTGCACAAATTGCAGTGATAAGAAAAATAGGATCATTTTTTGTTCTTTCTCTTTTGAAGACAGTTATATAGTTGTCGTTTGTTGTTGTTTCTGAAACTACTATAGTTCTTTCTAATTGAGCTCATTTTTTTTGTCTCATTTTTTTTACTTTATGGTCTTCTAGCGACTTATTCACGTCTTCATTATTAACCTCTTAGGACATGGTTTTGCCTAAAGACGCGACAGGATAAAGAAAAAAATATCCTAAATATTAAAGCGTTCAAAGTTTAAATAATATTTTAAGTAATATTTTAAAATACTGTATTGTAAAACAAACTTTAAATAAATCTTTATATATGGTAATTATTCTGTTGCTTATTAAAATACTATCTGTTTGAGTCTGTCAGCCCCCTTCGAGATAGATGGTTATTTAATATTTGATTTGGAAACTCTTTAACATAATGTTTATCACTTAAGATTTACGATGTTAAAAGAAAACAATCTGATGTGGACACCACATGACTTCCTTGTATGGCCTATTAAATAATACATTTTTTGGAGCATTTTGTTTAAGCTTATTTTCTCGAATTTCATTAGAGATCTATTTCTCATTCAATTAATTCAGTTCTCACTTCGCGGCAAGGCAAAAATACATAAAAACTCAAAACGCCTTCATTAAAAACTAAAATATGGAAAAACATAAAACACCAAATATGGTTAAAACAGCTAATTTTTTTTTTTTTTTTTTTTTTTTTTTTTTTTTTTTTTTTTTTACAATGAAAATTAGAATTTCTATGCAAAAATAAGTAATTCGTCCAACGGGCAAGAAGAAAGATTTTTCGGTGCACAAAACTGAAAGTTTACTTTTGGCTCCACTCGGCAAAAAGATACTGAAGTTGCAGAAACTGACTTAATTCACTATTCTGCTAAGTTTCAAGTATAAACAAATATGGCTACGCCGTTAGGCTTAGTCGCGCTTAAACAACTATTGCATCCAGATTAACTAAAGGCATAAAACTCTTAACCGGAACATAAGAACAGCATAATTAAATCACTTTAAAAAAACTGGACAATTTACCAATATATAAGAATAAAAAAAACTAAGCTCACCAAGCCGTGTTACAGAGTGGGTACATATATACATGTAAAATAAAAATAATTAAAAAGCCTATGACTTACGCTAAAGCTGCAAAGTAAAAAACCAATAATTCATAATAATTTATAAGAAAACTATCCATATACCATCTTCAAAGATTACAAATTCAGTTTAAAACCATGAATGAAAAATATTTTTAGTCAGAATTTTAATTAGTATTTAAAATTAGTATTTTCAAGACCTCCTCGGTTAAAAACATAAAAATCTACTAAGAAATATCTTTAATCGAAAAAAAAAAAAAAAAAAAAAAAAACCAAAAACCAAAGTAAACATTTTAAGCAATGAAAAAGTAGCTATAGTCATTGATCGCAAATTAATCGACTTAATAACGGGATAAACCAAATTGTCATCAATTAACAGCAACTAAATTTAGAGAGAGTGTTTCATCTTGCTTCCAGGTAAACATCAAATTATTTGCTAGATCCAAATCATAAGTATAATTAATACTCAATGAAAATAAAGACATTAGTCCATTTAAGCCAAAAGAATCCTGTTAAACAAAATAAATAGCAAATAATCTTTAAAATTAAAGTTTCTCAGTAAGAACATAATTAAATTGAACGGTATCCTTACTGTAGAAGACATATTCTCTACACTATCATTTTGAAACTTAATTTTTTTAAATTTAAATTTAATTAAATTAAACATTTTAATGCTCTAAAATGTATACTTTTGTTTTTGAGTTTGAAAATGAGAGTGTAGAGGATATGCCTAGAGGGAATTCTTCAGTGGTTGAGAGCCCATGATATAAAAGTACAGAAGTTTGATAATTCATTTAAAGAAAAAGGTGACTCATAACTGGAAGCAAGACAAATGGATATATTAATACGACGCTGAATAGATAACTCTCGCGTGCTTCACCGTAATCATCTCTTCTGTAATAATGAAAAACCTGTTTATATTTGTATGCTTCTCGCATGTATGCTTCTTTCTTGTGGAAAAAAGACGACGCCTAGAGCCACCAAATCTTGAATACACATTTATCTCCTCCCGAACATGTGTAAAACAAAGCCAAAATTTCAAATTTCAAATTGATTCTTTATTTATTTCGCATGTTGTACCTATTTAGTGAATTTTTAATTAACAAACTCTGCGATTTGAAAGCGAGGGGTGGCTGCACGTTTGATATAAAACATTTTTATCTACGGCATTCTAAATTGTGACCATTAAGCAAAATGAAATATATTTATTTTTCAATTTTAATCAACTAGTTTCAGTTCTACTCATGTCCATTCGTAAAATGATGCAAGGACTTTTAAAACAGCAGTTCGAACAGCCTACTAGTGTTTCGATAAAATTTCTGTATTTATTTACTAACTGTATGACTTAATAATTTAAATGCCTTTACAAGTTACTGCCAGAATATATTTAACAAATCAGAATTTTCCATAGGATTAGGGTATTAAGCGCGGGTAGCCTGGTATCATAAATCATTCTGAAATTGAACTATATAAAAGAAATGTGTTATCACTACTTGAAATAAAATACTTTTATCTTCCAATCGCCAACGTGTTCCCATTCAGTAAAGCGGAAGATATCTGACGTTCGAGTTTAAACTCTCCGTCTCTGATAACAAATCAAGCGATTTAGAACAAATAAAACCAGTTTTTAACAATAATTTTTCTACTTTTGAATTTAATTGATTTAAATTAAAATGCATTTAAATCATGAAATGTTTAATTACAAATATTAAATATTTTTATTAAATCATACTAGTTTGGCTCTTTAAAATAATTATATATTTTAAAATTTTTATGATAACTAGTATTTTAGGCTGCTGGCTGAGCGAGTGGCTAGATGAAACAAAAGAGTGAATAAACGACACTGAATTAATGATTAACTACTTTGTTTCTTAAACACAATTTTGCTGTTGCTAGAAAAACCGGAAATATAATACCCTGATTTATGTACTAGATCCAAAATTTTAATTCATCATCGAAATTAAACAGTTTTGTGGTCGTTGTAATGCATATTTGACGGTGGTCGTAGAAAAGATATAAAAATTATCCAAACTAATAAATATTTATTGTATCAGAAGCATTGGTCATTTCTAGAGGTGGTCATCTGCGAGAGAGTGTAGCTCAGAAAGAGTGCATTGCATTTAAAAAAGTTATAAAATTTTAGGAAACGTTAGTGATTCTTGCAAGATGTTCTATTTCAATATTTTTTACATTATACTTTTAAATAAATTAAATTAATGCAAACCTGACGTTTATTGCCTGCCTCGAATATGGTGTAATCGTGGTTATTGGCGGGCCATGTATTATCAAACGTTCGTTGTGAAATGTTGTTCCGGCATGATAGAGTGCAAGTTTATATCAGCAGTCCGGTGCATGATTACTTGAACGCCACATTTCACAAATCAATGGATTGGCCGAGATAGTCGCATCGTTCAGACCCAGCTCCCTACTTTTATCAGATCTGGACTTGGTTTTACCGGAACACATACATAATGTACTAGAATGCTATTTATGCCGATCCCTAACTGATCGCCATATATTCAATTACTACTACTGATAGATATCCAAGAAGCACCAGAAATTTTCCGTTAACATGCGGGTGTCTTTGTATCAACGATTCAATGCGTGTATTAGGAGTGACCGTAATACGGCGTATGTAGGGAAACGAAAAGAATTATCCACTTAATGTTTCATCATGCATTTTGTGATAAGAAATGTTTATTTCTTCTCGTTATGTGATCTCTTAGGATTAGTCCCGCTAATCAGGAAACATCCTTTCATATACGAGCACGTATTTCTTGATTGTATAAAGATTAATTTGCATTGTTGTTGTGCTAATGCTCACTTGTCATCTATAGTCAGCCCAAGCCCACGAAATTTCTCGTGGCAAGGAGCGCAAGTTTACGTCTGTCGTTGACAACAGCCTTGAGCACCCTACAGGTGTCAGAGCGATTTAACTGAGTGTCGCCCCCAGTTTTGACGGAGAGCACCGCGGAAGACGGGTCCGAGGGTCTCCCATCCCTCTTTCCCTGCCAGCAAACTCTCGAGAGGCTCGCCGCATATTTAGAGTGCCTCATGCCGCACAGACACTATACATTTACAAACATACATGTCTTCTCCGGGATTCAAACCCGAGCTCTTCGGCATGGTAGTCAGCTACCCTAACCACCATACCGGTTGGTCAGAAACAAAATAAGAAATGCTTTATGATCCTTTTTCGTTTTCGCATCTATTAGATGTAAAGCTGGAATCTGAAAGGTCCTATTACAATAATTTTCATTATCATTAATTTTCCTTTTTAGAAAATCTGGAGCCCATATTACAACAATGCTGTTCATCGGGTGTGGAATGGGCAAATAATCACACCACATGTACAGGTCCTCCGCAGGCTACCATTCAAGTACCTGACAGACTCGCTTGCCTCACAACACTCTACATATGTTGCGTAAGAGCTCAACGGAAACTCTCTTGTCGCAGAGGGATGGACATCGCCAGAGCAGGAGGCGAGTGTACTTTGTCCACTCTCCAAAGTGGAGAAACATTTCAGGTACGTTATCTAAATCTAAATCCAGTAATAGAATAATATGTTACTTCCAATCTGTTGTCTTAATTCTCCAGTACCATCGCTCTAAAAATGATGTTTTACTCAGTAATGACATTATGAATCTGGTTTTTTATTGGCATTCTTATCATATATTCATTTCTGTAGTGAAACAGAACATTTTAAATTTTAGTAGTTGAAGAATGTCGGAATATTAACAACATACTAATACTTTCACGTATTTAAAATGGGTAATGTACTTAATTGGTATATTTGTGAGATTTTGTCCTTCCTCACCGCATGCCTTCGTGGTGCAACTTAAAAGCACGTCACAGTAGCAATCGAAAGGTCCGGAGTTCAAATACCGGAAAAAACAATGCAGATTCTTTACGTTTTCCAGTTCTAAATTTCAAAAGTCTCTACAAGTGGAACTCAAACTAAAAGGTGTGGGATAGTAATTCGTCTCCACCAGGGATGGCGATTGGATCCCGGCCTTTCCAGTCACCCTTTAAATGTGAAGAATGTAAGGTCCCAATCACATTATGTTTCGGCTACGTGAGACTTGACGTCGAAAGGGACAATTCTCAGAACCCGCACAATTCCGGGAAACACACGTAGCTAAGTTACCATTCTCACTTACTACAAAGACTTGAACGCCAAACAACAACCGATTATTGCTCAAAATGGGATCACGTGATCCTTCAGAAGGAAAACTTTCGTCTGATTGGTTGTCTCTACCCGGGACCCGAGACATTTTCGGTGAGGTTTGAAATAATCCCGCGTAGCCGCAACATTATTTCCGTAATTAGGCGGGACTTCGCTTCCAGCGGGGCTCTTTTTTCTAGGAATCTTCCCATTTAAACCAGTGCTACCAGAATATTGTTTCTCAGAAAAATCCTGTCTAGCGGGGACTGCAGCCATATGTGATAATCTCTTAAGGTTTTTCTCCCTCGTTACCGCGTACCTTCGTGGTGTAACTGGAATGAACGTCTGACTAGCAAATCGGAAGATTCGGAGTTCGAGTACTGGGAAAGGCACTGCATATTTTTCACACCTCTTATTCCGAAATAAAAAGTTTCATGGTGCTCGCTGTCCAAAACCAATATCATAGAACATTTAACGGTGATGTAACAAAAGGCCACGGACATATAAAATTACATCAACATAACAAAACGCTGACACAAGATATAATGGGTGATAAATAAAGACTATTACTCTTGCATCATGTACAAAATTGAATTTGAAATAAATAAAAAACGAAAACAATGCAAATATTGGAAACTTTATAATTTTCTCCCTGGGAAAAGGTCAAAGTGCTGAATATGTGTTTCCTTTTACAACATAAGTTCTCTGAAGTAATAAATCTTCATTTCATTTTAATACTGCAAATAAGGAAAATAATTGATTTTCCCAATTTCATTTTCTCTACTAGATGTTATGGTTTGTTTATTAACAATGAAAGTCGAACTGATAGCTGCTCCGCAACATTAGGAAAAAAATAACTTTTCTACGTCTTTCACTCAAGATTATTTACTTCAACTAATGTTTTAAAAGGATAGTTATTAAAATAAAACCAAACTTTTTCTATGTTGAAATTGTACATAAACATTTGTAAAGATGCATTGCGTGTCGTTCAAATTGAATAATATTAAAGCATTATTGTTAATGCCATATCCTTTCTGCTTACCTTAACATCTCAACTATGCTCAATGGGATTCAGGTCAGAGGAATATGACAGCCAATCAATTTAAAGAATATACTTGAAGGCATTAAAAGGAAGCACTGTAAATTTATAAACAAAAAATCTGAATCCATAGCATCAGTAAAGAGCCTTACTTAAGATGCACAGCGTGAATTAAGTATTACCTCTTGCGTGCTAACAGAAAGCCAGAAGAGGGTATTTTTACGATTTCTCACGAAATAAATAAATAGCCACCAACAGTGACTTTCGCAAGTATGGCAATGGATGATTGCATTTTTAGGCTTTCTCCTGATGAAAGTAGATCAAGAATTACTATTTAGAGTAAACCAGGATTCATTTGTAGACAGTGCGTAAGCCCAGTTATCTTGTTTATTGATACCATAGTCACTGCATACAATCCTTTAAAAGCTTCTCTTCTAGAAGATGCAGAATATGGAACTCTACGCAATGATGATCACAGAAATTCTATGCTGTTGAAGCTGTAGCTGTCCTGGAGGAAATCAAAGGCCGCACCATGAAACAGTTCAAGTATCGGAAAATGTCACAAAGGATCTTGTTTGGGTTAGCCGTACTGTATTTAGCTGCCGCGTTATCAGATTCGAGATCAAATCTTAATGCCGTTTCACGTCGCCAAAAAATCGGTAACTCGGACGCTGCACTTCCCATCAGTGTTAATAGATGGCGACACGGGCAAGCAGCAAAGAATGAAAGTCGCGAAAGAGAGTTTATGTCCCGGAAGCATACAAACATTCTGTACCGCGCCACGCACATAGGGAAAATCTATCCTCGTGATTGGATATAGCTTCCGATGACATCATTTCCTCTACGCTTAGGAACGCCTTAACTTTGCATGGGCTTCAGGGAACACCTTTATACCGTTTGTTTACATTTTGATAGCAGTTACCGAAAAGATTATTACGTGAGTTGTACTTTTGTTACTATGAGACTACAATTCCTACAACACTACAGTATAGTGAATTTAATATAAAAAAATGTAGTGATTTTTTCCCCTAAAGAGTATTATTCTTCTTGTGCTATCTCCGTAAATGCGTATTAATATTAAGTGCAGATATTTTAATGAATGCATTCTTAATTTAAAAACCTTCATATTAAAGGTGCTGTGATTATTAGTTCATTATTTCATGTTCATTATATATCCATTCTCTGCAGATGCAATCTCCGAAGGCATGAGACAAGTCAGTTACCAAACGCGACGTTGGAAGGTAACATGTTAACGTAGTAAATTCACAATATTTATAATCAGCCTGAAAGAGTAAAATTTATTTTTCAGTTAGACTAATATAGGTTTAAAACAGAGAAAGAGAGATACGTATTTTAAATTGAATAATATTACTTTATGAATATTGCTCATTTTTTAATGTATAACATCTTTTGTATCTTTGCATTAAAATAGTGTTTGTCAGAGAAGGAAGTTTCTTTTCTTATGCACATGTATTAAATTCAGCCACAATACTGAATGCACTTTTTTCTTAAGGCAACAGAATATTAAAAATGGCATGGAAATAACATTTACAAAGGAAATATTTTCTGCAAAGTGAAATGAACAGAAAGCAGCAAAATAGCAATAATAATAATATACCTACTAGCAACACATTGGATTACAGTTGGATCGAAATCGTCGTGTTTTGGTTTTTGCACTAAATTCTCAACCATTTATATATTCTAAATGCTTAAAACTGCTTTTGGTATCAACAGCATCTTTGAAAGATCAGCTAAAATTTTTCTTTTCAAAGAAAACAAACGATAATTTTCACTCATACTCTTCATTCAACGAAAACAAAACAGAAAGAATCCCGCCTAAACATCATTTACGCCAAGAGAAAATGATGTCATCGGAAAGTATGTCCAATCTTCTTAAGGCAACACAATATTAGAAATGACATGGAAATAACATTTACAAAGGAAATATTATAGGATAAGTAAATATTATATGATAAGCAAGTAGGATTATTCAGTCGAGAGCTCTTAGCTATTGAGTAGTCCAAAGCAAATGTCCAGCTCGTGCCAGCAGCGACAAATAAAGATTTACAGATGCTACAATCCTCCTTGGACGACCTTCACCAGTTAGGCGAGGAATTGTTTCTTTGAATAAAAAACATTTCCAGATTCTTAGCTCATGCTTTAGGAAAATTCACGTGTTTCGAAATGACGAATTGTTTCTGAACCTCTTGAAGTCCACCAATCACTCGCCGCGTCTGGCTTTGATCTAAATTGTGCCTTTCAACAACAGTATGTGATCGCTTTCAAACTTTATGTTTAACCTTAAGATACGTGCTAGATGTCAATATGTCAATTTTTTCCTTTTCATAATGACTCTTGTTTGCCTAATTTGTATAATTTATGCCTAAACACCAAACTGCAGTATGTGTTGCTTATAATTACCATATAGAATTATACCTAATAGAATTTTAATGTCTTTATAAAGTGGTGTCACTTTTATAATTATTCTTTAATTTTGAGCACCAATGTATTATCGCGCATTCTTTTTTAATAGAATTAAAGATAAATTGGATATATTTTTAATGCAATAGTAATGACACTTAATTACAATACACAGAGGAAATTGCTGCATGCATTAATATACTTTCATTGAAAAATACATTACTGTATATGTAAGCAATAAAATTAATCAAAGCTGTTTAATCGTATTAAACACTTTATCTTCCACCTACATTACGAATTAATTCTTTTGAATCTTAAATAAGATGTTTTATTAACAGCGAATACTGTGCATAAAACCCAAATAATACACGCAATTAATTGTAAACTCATAGTCAAATAATACGATATTCCGGGGAGATAAAATATTTTCCACCCATCTTTACATTAAATTGAGCACCATCATTTGCGGAGAAAGGCTGATAATTACACCAGATTAGGATAGTTATCTCTAACAACATTAATGCTCAATTGAACTGTAACAAAGATACTCCTTTGATGGATACTACAACTATAATAGCAGTTTTCAACTATTCCAAGTAAATCAGCTAAGGTACCAGAAAACTGAGTCACGTAACTCCCTACCCTGATCAAGCCAGATAGTATTACAACAAATGCAAATCAACATTAGAAACATAGCTAGCTCCGTGGAATAGTAACTGGACTGTAAAAGCAAAAACTATTGTAATGTAAGCTTATTACTATCCATTTTGCATGTACTTGTTAAAACTAATGTTGTAAAGCAGTTAAAAATAACACAGAAACTCCAGTGAATGTGTAACTGAATTACAAGTTTACTGTGGTTATCTTAGTAACAGTATCGTAAATATGAAATCAAATAATGTTTAAATGTGCACATAACTGTTATTATTATATCTAAATATCTCATGTAAATGATACAAGACAATGTTTGTAATTAACATATCTGTGCTTATATACAGGCCTTGTATGCCCATGTATTATTTATATATGGAAGAAATAATCCCTTCTGCTAGGATGACTATTAACACTGTAAGACTTTTACAACAAAGTCAGGTCAGTGGTTATCCCAGGCAGCGTTCAGCACCACCAATTTGTTATTAGAAAGGAATATACCGTTCATATTTCTGAACTTCTAAGTATTAAATTAAATGGATTTTTAGCCAGTATAGACATGTTTCCAGTTGCTTAACCTGCACTGATTCTCTCGCTTCCTTGAACCCCTAAAATACATCATCATGTAATAATATTATTGCTAATATACAGCAGTTTCTGGGGGATTTTGAGGGAGAAAGGTATTTCAGTGTTTTTTACATTTGTAAGCGGACACGCAAGAGAGAGAGCTAATTGGTTTGCTAAGAATGCAACTAGAACAGACATTAATGTTGATGTAAATATTCCAAAATAAGCAAAGCTAAAATGATTGAACAATGGAATAATGAGTATATCACTTTTAATACGGAAGATATTACAAAAACATTTTCCCCAACTGTTTTTGATATAATGAAAGATTAAAACTTACTGATCAATGTTAATTTATGCGATATTTGTCTGGGATTCACGGTTGACAATAGCACAAATTAAATTTTGACATTTTCCAGTTTGTGCTATTGTGATATTGGATTTCAGCAAAGTGTCTTCCACTTACTTTGTGACTGCCCTTTGCTAAATGATGCAGGAAATGCATTAAAATCCAGAGGACTACTATTTCATCTAATCTGTTTGGCGAACATATGGGTGTCCTGAGTAGAACAATGAGTTTACTTTAAACTATGTCCGATGAAATTGTAGAAGATAAGACAAAGATGGGAATACACTGTTTATTTTTCACAGCTTACAGCTGCTTTTACAACTGCACTTTGGGATACAAAGACCAGTACTTGTAGTCTGAACGTAAACAAATAAGAACCACAAACTAACTAAATTTAAATAAGAGGAGCTACACTCAAATATTTTACTAAGACTATTAACGTGAGAATTGGCCTTTTAATCTTTACGTATTTAATACGCATAAATGCGCGAAAACTACAATACATCTTTAATATCAAGAGGACTAAATTTCTGGCCTTAAAGACGGACAGCAACTGACTGAAAAGCACGCGTAAAATAAGTCTCTTTCTCTAACTCTAACTCTTCTTCGCTAAAAGCCACAACTTAAACAGTTAACAGTTTGCAAGCTCAATTTGCATACTAAAACTAACCGCGTTTATTCTGCCCGGAAGTGGAAAATAAGAGCGGACAGTAAAGTTTTAAAATAAAATAAACGTTAGTAAAACTTAAAATCCTTATAACCTAAATGCCATAAATCTGTTTCTCTGACTTACCTTCCTTTTAATGACTTTGTTGATATTTTGAATGCTAATCTTATTTTGAATGCTGTTAATGATTTTCTTTGTATGTTTTTAATAATATATGTTTAATTTATTTGTATTATTTAAAGTTGATGTGATTTCCTTTACTTAAATTTTGTAAGCCTTCTATGATACTTTGTGGTGCAAGAGGAAAAATTTGTTTTCTTTTAATAAATGTTTTGACATTAACGACACAAAACAATAATGATGTGTCTCGCTGAATATTCAGAGGTTTTTAGTTACACTATATACCAGATTACCACGATACTTAGAAGTCAGAATATATAACGAAAGCTTATTACGATTATCGAAAAATTTAACAAAGGTGCTATCCTTTGCAAAAATCTTTAAGAGAAAGGTTTTTGTGAAGATCGCGTGATATTACAAGATCCTGGAAAAATACTTGATATCTGAACTGTGGTTTTCATGCGCAATGAGTATAAAGATTTAAAATAAGAAGAAAGACAATGAATGTGAGGAATCTCGGAGTCACATCAGAAAAAAGCTCTACCGAATTATTTGAAGCAGCTGATTATGAAAGAAAACAGAATAAGCACACAGATATTTCGTTATATGCAGGTTACTGTTGCGAGGAAATTCAGTATTAATGACATCTCAATGCAGATCATGTGAAAGATACAAGTACACAATGTTCCAGATTGCCAGATCTATCTCATGTTTCAGCTATGCTAAACGATTTGCTGCTTCAGGGCTGGCTTGAATAGTGAAATAATTCAGATTGTGTCCAATGAAGGGTAATGCGACTATTTAATAAGAAAAATGTCATAATCATCTGGGGCATGTGATAAAATGTTACAGTTAAATATTTGGCTTTTGTATAGCAGAGCACAAATAAATTGTAAGGGAAAAATCGTACATTCAGTGTTAATGGACATTAAAAAAATGTGAACTAGAATTTGAAGGAAACAGATTCTAAGTTGTTTTCCTTTTTTTCTTTTTAAGGACTGTTGTTACAGTTGCAGTTTGGGTATTTACGTCGGCTCTCGAAGAATACCATGTACTTTTCAAAACTTTCGTTTCGGGGCACCTTGGGACGAAGTATTTTTAGAATGCTGCGAAGGAGCATCATCTGTTCAAGGGATCTCTGCTTTACCATCTGGTGAGTGTCTCACAGTTTTATAATCAGTGTCCTAGTGAATGTGATTACTGAATTCTGATAAATGCATCGCGAGCTTGAGTCAGCTAAAGACAGGATAGACTAACTATGTGGTTGTATTTGGAAATTTTGCCGTTTTCGCATAGAATTGCGATAAATTCTGTCACCTTCTTAAAAATCAGCATTATTTAATTACATTATTACTGCGGTAGGTGTGCTATAGCTGATGACAAGTGTATTTTTGTAAATCAAAACGTTCTCTTTTTTATAGAGTGGTAATTTTATCTTCAGAACTGTATTAAGTTTCTCTTTGTCAACAACAGAAATCTATTCATGAACTAACTTTTAAAAATCTTATTTTATGTAAAAATTTAGACATAGAGTTGTAAAATTATAATCTACAAAAATTCAAATTTCTTGTGAATTTATTGATTTAAATCTTCATGTCTTTGAAGGAAAAGGTCGTTGCGATACGAATAATCCGTGCAGTCAACGATGTGAAGATATAGGAGATCAAGTGCTGTGTTCCTGCTACCCAGGCTACAGATTGGGAGCAGATCTTACGTCTTGTGAAGGTAACACACCTTTCTAATACATGCTTCTGTTTAGGATACGTTTATACTAATATCTTCGTACTAACTCTGATACAGGAAGTGTACGTCTAACCTACATACGAACTCTTTCCAAAACGTTTTGAATTTTATAATAAAACGCTTCATGTGTCCAAATTGGCGTTAGTTGTCGGTACCCCCAATAAACTTCTTTCAACAATCTTGTTAACCGTCTCATATATGCACATACCTCACAATAAAACTTTAGCGTATTTCCTATGTATCATCACGTTATATTTCTTGGTTAAAGAGCTTGCACAGCATATCTTGTTATTTTCAAGTTGGATTAATGAGATACATTCCGATGACCTCATTGATCACGTGACTTATGTATACCTTTTGTAAACAAACAATGCAGGTGACTTCAGAGATCACGTGACTTATGTACAGCTAATGCAAACAAGCAAGGTCATTCTTCCTCTTCATCTCTTGCGGAAGGTATCTCATTTCGGATTAGTGCATTTTAGAACTACGTCAAACTTAAAAACTTATTTATAAAGATACATTAAATGACGAATGTTCATGTTTTCTCAATGCATTGATTACTACAAGCTTATTTCAAAAGCTTTGAGTGATCAGTGTAAGCTTACGCGGTGACCACTGCTTACGCCTTATATAGTTTTATGCATGGTTAAAGCAATTCATAGATAACTGACAGCCAGCCAATGGTGATATTATTTCAAAATGGCCATTGACATCTTTTGACAACAGTAGCGGACTCAAGTTAGAGAATTGTGCATTAAAATCATCAACAGATTGATGATAAATTTGAAAATTGCAGTATTTTAACTGCATCATTACCGTCCAGCTTGTAATAGCGTGCGCTAGCTACTCATCTTGATGAGAAATGTGACTTCTGTAAGAAACAATTAAGATGGCTACTCCATTCAGCAAGAAAAGAATATACTTGTGTATGCAGGTTTTAAATCAGCATTTAATTTACTTTAGCAGGATTTTAGCCAAATTCTTCAAAGGAATACTCGTTAGGAAGAATTTCAATAAGCACAATGAAGATAAAACATTGCACCTACAACTACGCCGTTAGTCACAGGAAATTCTGCTAAACTGTTGTGGTATTCTATAATCTGGCTTGAACAGTTGTGGCAGAAACCACTGGATCTGGATTTTGATCGACACTCTGATACTGGAGTTTTTATCTGCATGGAGTTTTTATCAGGAGATAAAAAATCGCCATTTAGACCTTCACGATAGTTCATGAAGCACAATGTAATCGTACCTTACAACCTGAGGAGAGAAAAAAAAGCAAGGTGACAAAGTCAGCATTCGTGTGTACGAAAGGTCTCCGGCATGTGGTGTAATCGAAAATAGTTCACTGCGGTTTCACTTCATTTTTTGAAAAACTATTTACAATGAAGTGCAATAAAACTACAATTTTTGGCATCGAACTAATTCAAAATGTTCTCAAATATTTTTAAAGCCTGTCTTTTTTAATGTCTAAAATATTTTAAAGTCTTGAAACTTCAGACACACTGTTTGAGGACCCTTTTTTTGAGCTATGGGGACACTTGTGTCCAGGTGGGCTGAAGGGAGCCTCCAATTCTTACACTGTTTGAGGAAACGGTAAAGTCCAAAATCAGGGTCCGAACGCTAAGTCAGTTGGCAGTAGAAACAGTCTCTGTCCACTGGGACTACGATCATCACATCAGACTTTAATAAAATTTATCACATGCGAAAAGGCTTACGGTTGATTATGATACTGATAAATATCTACGGCTAATAATGAAATAATCTACGGCTTCCATGCCTATTTCTGATTTCTGCATAAGAGCCTTTCTTAGTTTTCTTGAATTTTTCGAAATCTTTAGCTTTTGCGTAATGTAGTTTGAAGCTAGTCTATAAAGGATGTTTCATTAGCATTTTTTGTGGTCTTATTCAAAAAGGAATTGGCGGTTTTTGAGTTTCCAGTTTTATTTCCTGGAAGGGTGGGAAAATCTTCCTTATTGTAATTAAACTTTGGATTGTTTTCGCGTGAAATATTGAGTGTTTTTAGACTTTTGGGGTATTTCTTGTGTTAGGAATTTTGTACTTAGATGATTTTAGTGCAATTACAAGGTGTGGCACACACGCACACACACGAAAAAAGATACACATAGAAAAAAAGAGTGAAAAGTGTGTAGCTTGGAAAAAGAGTGGAGTTGGCAACAACTGTTTTGGTGACGTCATCCCACACACCTCCTCTATCCGTGCCGTCAGTTTCGACTTAACTGATCACGCCAGTTGGGAGTAGTGCGTCATTGAGTGAACATATGAAACTGTATTCTGCCGGGAAAAAAGTCTAATGTAAAAACCGAAAAGCGAATCAACATCAAGTTTCTTGTGAAACTTAAGAAATCAGCCACTGAAGCATTTCAGATGTTAATTGAGGCTTATGGAGATAAAACTTTGTCTCGTGCACGTGTGTTTGAATGGCATTAGGCAATTTTCAGGGGGAAGAGGCAAAGCACACATGTCAAAATCAAAATTCAAGGGAATGTTAATTGTCTTCTTCGACATTAATGGAACTGTAATGATTGAGTGGGTTCCTAGTGTCGGACTGTTAATCAACACTACTACACTGAAGTACTAAAAAGACTTCATGGAAAAATTAGGAAAAAAAGGCCACAGTTGTGGAGTCATGAATAGCTGTTGCACCAGGATAATGCACCCGCTCATACAGCGCTATCTGTCGAGCAGTTTCTAGCCAGCAAAAACATTTCTGTGATGGGGCATCCTCCTTACTATTAAATTTGACTTTTGTTTATTTCCTAAAGTTAAATCTTGCTTAAAGGGAAGCCATTTTACCTCAGTTGAAGAGGTATAGGCAAAAATGGAGAATCTCCTGAAGGGCCATCCAAAAACCTCGTACCAGAACTTTTACCAGTAATGGCAGTACCGAATGCAGAAGTCTATGAATGTTGAAGGAGACTACTTTGAAGGGAATAATGTCACGGGGAACTGATTCTGTAAGTGATTCTGTTTTATTGGACGTCTTTTTTTTTTTGTGTGTGTCATATCTTGTATATGTGAAATTGCTGTATTTTTCTGTGACATGTAATATAAGAAAAATCTAAAAGAGACAAGCTATGCCGGAAAAGTAAGAATACAGAATATTGCATTAAACATTAAATGGGTATCTCGGTAATTTGGCGAGATATTGCCAAGCTGGCAAAAGTTTTGGTGACTTATTTTGTTACCAAATTTGGAGAGAAATCCCTAAAAGTCGCCAAACCTGCCGACATTTTGGTTCGGTCCCTGTATCACCGTAATAGGTATTGTAACTGAATAAATGTAATTGACCACTATGTTAGCTGTAACCGTAATTCGACCCTCGTATTGCCTTCCAGTCATTTCGAGAAGCAGAAAGTACTAGAAATACCTCGGCGGCCGGGTGAAAACTATATAAGCCCGGAGCGAGCATCTGCTCTCAGTTGTTGTTGTTATTGTTATTGAGAGTTGTTAGTTCAGCGTAAACTGAGATACCTTCGTGTTAACTTTCTCCTTAAATGCGCTTTTCATTGCGTTTTGTTTAACGTTCTTATTAGTTTGAAGTGTAATTATTGGTTGTACTCTGTGATGCTGTAAATACCTGTACGAGTATTCCTGCGAAAAATTCCAGAACTTTAAAGTGTTTCTTTCGATAAAATAAATTTTATTAACCTATCATCGGATCTGTGTGCGTTCATTATATTACTAACCCGCACTCACGCAACCTTTGTAACTGGAAACATGATTTACTTCACAGAGAGCTGGTAGTGCGCCCTTGCTGCTTTTCCACAAGTAAGTTTCATCTGCGCGTGCATATTTTAAGCATCATTCCTTACTGTAGCAGGGCGAAGATGTGTGACCGTAGCGCTGGCATTTGTGGCATTGCAATTGCCTCCTTTCAACAAGAACATCTAACTCACTATTTGTAGTAATATGGTATATTTGTTTTTGGTCATTGTTTCTTTTGACTTCAGCGAGATAAAATGGTAAGAGAATCATTTGGCTCTTTCTAAATCTGGTTAACCTCCGCATCTTACTTACGAGAAATCCTTTATTTTTTAATTTTTCTAAAATGTTTTAAATATTCATGTTTTTTGGTAATTTCTTTAATACAGCTTTCATGGAGTTATCAGCATTAATTAAATACATGTCGGAGGGTGCTTCTTGTTCTTTAAACATCTTCGTTACTGTTCTAGAATCATCTGAGTTAAATTCTCGAATCGTCATGTTTTCTCCTTTTATGTTCCCTTTGATTTTTTTCAACTCCTAGTTTTTTTAGCAGTGCTTTTAGTTGTATTGAATTGACTAGGTCGATAGATATACACATAAACACATTATAGAATAAATGCAATCGTTGAAATTTAATATGTTTATTTACTATAGTCACACTCAGACGTTACTTTAGAAAACACGTACCAACTCAATTGCATTACAGAAAGGAATGCACAAATTTATATCACTGATGAATTATCAAATCGTTGCCACATGCTCGATACAAATATTATAATAAAACCTAAAACGATGTATAACAGAAATTAAACAAATTTTAATTAAAAAGAAAAAAAATCTGAAAGTTTTCAGATTTTATTAAGCTCAAAGGAGCCTTTTTTTAAACGTTTTGTGTCTTAACCCTTATTTATTAAATATCATATTCTTTGCACTTAAACCATAAAATTCAATTCAACAGCAATATTACAAATTAACTTAAAAAGAGCGTAAGGACGATCAGCGTCGCTTACAATTAAAACGCATGAACTAGTTCTAAAACGTTTTCTCTGTCTGAGACAGACTGGCGCGTTATTTTTCTGTTATTTTGCAACACCAGTCTACTTCCAAATCGGAAATGATAACTGGGAGAAAATTACCTTTTTTCTCTGGTTGGGGTATTTCAACATCAGAATCAGATATTTCCTGTTGCATCTCATCTTCTTGTTTTAAATCTTTAAAGTTATTCTGATTAAGATATCTTCATTGTCGGATTGAGAGAGATTTCTTTTATGAGTTTTTCTAGGCATTTTAAAACACTCTGAATTTGGTTTTTAGGATTTTTTCTTACGAATTTTATATACCCGATTCTCCGGATAATTTCTGCTCTAAAACTTCCATGGTGCGAGCGCAAGCGGGTTCTTTCAAAAGATCAAGAACAACTTACAGTTTTAGTATTTGTTCAACAAGAAGTTTCATATCACCGCCGTTGATTATATTATCTTACCAGGGGCCTGATAGTTTTGGGTTATACTTTCGGTACCTTCCTTACACAGAAGAAGTCCATCTCGTGGCAAGCCACTAAACTTAGTAGTAACAAAATGACTCGTCATGTCCATCAATTTAATCTGCTGTCCAGGACTAATTGCGTTTTTCGAATCGATCTCCATTACGAAAAACTACCGTTCACTAAGGTCCTGGCATCCATAATGAAAAGTAATACTTACGATGAAGTTTCAATAAGGATGGAGAGCTTCGCGCTGCGTGTGACCTCGATGCTTCTCCAGATTCGAATCAAATACCTTCCAAAGTTGTTGCCGCGATTAACATGCGCTACGCATGCGTGGTTGTTCCTTAGTCCACTTGGATGCCGCAATTATCATGCGAAAAAACACGAGATGCTCCGGCTCTCTGATGTAATGTCGATGCGACACATGACGATGAAAGCTCTAAATTAATGAGCCCTGGCCGGGCATAGAGGTGAAGGTAGGCAAGAGGGCGTGAGCATTGCGACGTGATAAGCAGCATTTCTGTTGCATTTCATCTGATTGTTCAGTGAGGCTCGCAGGTTGGTATGTACTATCACGTAATGAGGAGAAGTCATCTAATAGGATCTTGCAAACATCTCGAGTTGCTAAAGCAAAATACATGAAAATTCAAGCTAAGAGAAAGTTAAGCTATGTACAATATTTACAAAAATTTTCTGAAGTTTCAGAAAAAATTCATTAGCAATTACAGTATCCGTATCAGGTGGGAATGTTCTGGTTCAGCATATGAGCTCCATAGGGTCGAAGGTAGCGGTCTACGTTAAGTAACTCATAATGAAACGTTTTCAAGGTTTCACAGTTCATGGATTTGGAGAAGAACCGCTCGTTAGTCTTTCTCAGGAATTTGTCGATATAATCAAATTTAAGTCAGAGTGAAGTTTAACGTTTCTCACATAAAAATGCGCATCTATCATTATTCTGAGAAATCTTACATATATCCTTGTCTGTTGCAATCGCCTAGGCAGGAGAAGCATATATTAGGATGGGTCGGATGGTAGAAGTATAAATCAATTTCTTCTTAACCAGATCTAATCTGGATTATCTGCCAATGACTGGGTGTAGGTAGCTCATGACACAGAGTGGTTTTTATTCTAATGTAATTAATATTTGAAATGTTGATTCATGTGAAATGTTGATTCATTAGAACTCCGAGATATTTTATCTTCACATGACGATGTAGATGGGTACCGGCTTTCCGAAGAAAAGCAGGTTGCTTTTGAGAGCAGCGTTTCGTTTTTCCTTTCTGATAAACAGGAGCTGAGATTTGTGGGGATTAATGGCTACCTTCCAGCAGCGGCAACAATCTTCGATCATAGGAATCTGTTTTTACAGTTTACAAATCGCATGATTAATGTTGGCCGATTTAACAGCTAAAGCTGTATCGTCAGCGTAACACACTAGCATGTATCCACTGTTTGGAGGCTTGGGGAAGTCTGCCACGTAATATAAATAGGGACTCCGGCCGAAATGGGAAATTCACCTGAGGTGGCTTTTCCATTTGATACATTGAAGTTCGATCTGACAGAAAGGAGTACAGGGGCAGAATAAGTTCTCGGTCGAATCGCAGGTCAATCAGTTTACAACTGAGCCCCTCAAGCCAGACGCGGTTAAAAGCTTTGGCCACATCAAGCATAAGGAGTACAACATTGAGCTTTGAGTGGAGCGCAGCTCGGCAAATTCTTTGATTCTTACAAGCTGCTTGGCTGTCGATAGCTGCTGGCGGAATCTAAATTCCTCAGGCGGAAGTAAGTGAAAATATTTCTTCATTCTATGCAGGATTATTCTTTCGAAGATTTTTCCTAGCCCAGGCAAAAGGCTGATAGGGCGGTAACCCTCAGTTTTACTGTGATCTTTGCCAGCTTTCGGAATCATGATAATTTTTGCTTGCTTCCAGTCCTTACGAAAGTACGAATTGAAGAGACACGCATTGATGATGGAAGAGAACTTGGTGATTGTGCTAAGTGGAAAATTTTTGATAGCTGAGTTGGAAATTCCGTCTTTACCAGACGCTTTTCTAATTTTAAGGCGTTTGATCAATTCCTTAATTCCTAATTTTAATAGTTGGGATGCTCTAGGCTGTAGGATCATTCAGCCAATCGCAGACCTTGAAGAGTGTGCTTAATTCTGACTGGCTGTCAGCAGGCCAAAAGCTGGGAGAGAACTGCTCTTTTAGATATTTTACAAAAGCTTTATATTTTTCCTCATTAGAGACGAAAATGTGATCATTAGTGTAAATAGGTCTATTGCAGGAATATTTCTGTTTGAAATTTTTAATCGTGCTCCAGAAGGATTCATCAGTGACACTTAAACTTTCCATTCGCTGTTCGCAGAGATACTGCTTATGGATTTTGATTAGCTTCTTAATTTCCCTGTTAAGCTTGTTGATGCTTCGTTTGATGGCAGGGTCCCATTGTCAGGATGTATTACTTATGAAGCCAGTTTCTTTCTTGAATCGCATTCCTGATGTGCGCAGGGAGTGTGAGAATTTTTCAGAAGCTGATACAACTTCCGAGGCTTCCTCAAGCGCTTTCTGTATTGAATTAGTAAAGGTTTTAACAGCATAGTCAATATCATTTTTAGTTCTTTAACATCCTATTTCCGGAGGATTATCCGAGAGTAAGTTTTGAAAAAGTGTCCAGTCAGTGACTGCTTTAAGATCACGTGACTCAGTTTTGGAGACTACCAGTACTTCACTTACTGGTACGTAAACAGAGCTTAGTTCGTGTTTTACTTCCATCGCTGTTGGAATATTAGTTGTAATTAATATATCCAAGATATCCGAATAAATGGGGTTGCCTTGGCAATAAGTGTATTCCTCTGGTACATAGAGCTACGGGGGTTGTTCAGCACAAAATTGTGGAGAGTATTTCCGTTAACATGGCTTTTTCTGCACAGCCAGTCTCTGTGTTTGGCGTTAAAGTCGCCAGCAGCAATGACGAGGGTATCCCCTGGTAGAAGTTCTACTGGATGTTCAAGCGAGAGCTTGCTTTACACATTGTATACTGCACGAAAGTCGATTTTGTTGAAGGGAGGGTGACACAAGTAGTAACAATTTCTAGTCCTTTTCCCCGTTAAATATTAATTAAACAGGTTTGGTAGCGCCTCTTAACATAGATGAGTACTTCTCCGCCGCTGTGAGTGATTCAGTCGCATCTGTAAGACGCATAGTTTGGGATTGCCAGTCTCTGCCCAGTGGAAGCGAGTATCTCAGTAATTATTCCTATGACTATATCATAGTCTATAAACAAGTTGTGCAGCTCTGGAACTCTGCTGTGGAAACCACAAGGTTCCATATCATGATGCGGATCGGAGCACATCTAATTGTGAGCTGGTCCATTATTTTCTGTACGGGACGTGTCTTTACCTGACTTTGTTTTTCATGATTGAGTTGATGCTAAGAATTCCCGATTCTTGGATTATCTAGAGCACAACCGTAAGGTCTTTTATTACCTGTTTGGCCTCGGTAATTTTTTTCTAAAGGAAATCCTTCTGATACAGCTGTTGTATTAGATTTCTTTGTCACAAATCTATCTGCTTAAGTCATGGTTTTGGGAATATCCTTTGGGAACTTCTCACAGCCACGGGAGTTGGCTGTATGTGCTTTTTTGACAATTTGTGCAATAATTACATTTCGTATGGGTGTGGTGGAACCCCTGACATCTGTAACATTGCAGGGGCCCATACGCCCTTTGTAAGGCTGTACTTTAACTTTCATCTGAAGGAGGTTGAATAAATCCATTTGAATAAATTATTTAGATTCCTCAATCCTTGGAAGTGTTATAAGGAAAAGCGGGAGCTTAGCTATTTCACCGTTTCTCTTTCTTGTGAGCTGATGTACAGATTCTACTTTGAACCCAAGTTCAATTAACTCGTTCTATATATCTTTCGTTTTGATGCATGCTTTGTTCCGGCTGTCTTTTTTTTTATATTGCTTCTATGAGAGCTTCAGGTATTCAGTGCTTCAGGGTCGGTCTGCAAGACAGGCTAGCAGTGAAGAGGGGAGTGACCAGTAGTTACATGGATGCAGGAAGACATCGTGTTGGTTGAGAGGTTCCAAGGCAATGGTCAAGGCAAAAATACATAGTTTCTTGGCAAAAATACTGTAAGAAGTCAATAAAGTATTTTAATAATAATAGTAGAATATGTCATTAAATCTATAAATCTAAAAACAGAAATTTCAGTAGAGTACCCATGGTAAATCAGGAAATGAACAGGTGTGTAGTCACGTGATATGCACGCTCATCAAGATGAACACGAGGTGCAATATTTGGCAGACGTACAAAATAAAATACATAAACTCGATACACTACAAAATATGATACAGTGTAGCAGAAAATGATCAATATGTTACTATAAAATCAAAGAAACTATAAACATATTTAAAAGATAAGTTTTGCATTCCTACTGGTGGATATAACAAAAATATTTTTCTGCAATTGATTCAAAAAATGGTGAAATAATATAAGAAATATATTAAAAAGAAGGACAACTATGTCGAAAGTTCGCACATCATTTTTATTTATGACTACATCTGTGTCATATTTTCATAATTTTTAGTTTGTTATTAGCTTTTTACACACCCTCTTATTTATACGCTTTTTGAAAAATTGCATAATTGCGTGTGACAAGAAAAACGTACTTGAGGATATTTTTCTTTTCCCTCTTCTTACAGATGTAAATGAATGTGCCTCACAAGATGCATGTGGGACACCAGGAGATGAATGTGTCAACACCCCAGGCTCTTACATTTGCGTTCCCGGCAACCAGCCCTGTCGCCCAGGCTTAAGGTTACAACTTAATACGGGAAGGTGCGTAGGTAGGTCGAACAACTCAATAATATCTCAAGAAATTAATATAAAACTTCCAAATACAACATCCTAAATAACATTTATGAATGTAAACGATACTGAAAATATAAACTAGAATATCTTATATAAGAAATTGCAGTTATTTCTGTTTGCCTACTTACTAAGGTTTCTTTTCCGAAAATCTGGGATTTCCTCGCCATTTTATTGTTTTTATTTCAAGGAATGGAAAGATATTTCAGATAATTTGAAGAAATATTAAAATAGGCTTACTTGTTAAAAGAAGAAAAGGTAATAATATCCTGAAGTCAGAAAATGAGTAATGGGCTGTTTTATAATAGTTATCTAATACTAAAAAAAAAAATACATTTTATTGATATATTTTTATCATATTCAAACAACAAAATTCCCTTTTTATTGATAATGAATAAATTGATGTAATAATAAATTTTTAAGTACAGATTAAAAATGAGAGCAATTTTAAATTACCAAAGCAACAATTTTTTGCTCAGGTTATTTTCCTCAACAATATTCATATTTCTATCATATTTTAAGAAATGGGAACATTAAATTCAAGGAACTAAATGTCCTGGAGGAAATATAAACTTTGTCCAGGTGTATCATGTTTTGCCCATTAGAATAATAAGGTAGTAGTTGATATTCATTGTTAACATTATAAGGTGTTAGCTACCCTTGCGCATTCCACTCCTCGGGTATTACAGTATTCTGTAGTTCTCATGATTCACAATTATAACAAGTAAGGTGAAAATTTAATGTTAAGTCGCGTGAAACTGTACTTTCTTTGATTAAGCTATAAGGAGTGTGGCATACATCGAAATGGTATTCAACCTTGTTCCATACGCGGTATACTGATTGTTTAATATTTGTTGAAGCTAAAATAATTTCTTGCCGTCAAATAAAAATGATTCCTAATATTTTAACTTTAAATCATTATTTTCACATCGACCTAAAGAAATCTAATGGAATAAGGTCAGAGATCTATAGAAATCAAATAATGGAACAACTTTACCTAATCCGTATTCCTGGAAAATGAGTCATCCTCAAGCTGCTTATTAGGCTCCGTTCAGACGGTGGTATAAATGTCATAGAGGCATAAATGCGGGATTCCATTCATACCTGAGAGACAGTAACTAAGCTGCAACCAATTAGGGAAGGTCAATTTCCGCATTCCGTCGACACCAAGGTTTTACTGATCTTGCGTCGACACTACTACAGCTATGGCAAACAGATGGTAACCACCTTTTACGAGGAGAGGGTTCTTGCCCCCCCCCAGAGAGCATGGAGGTAAGAAAGGAAGGAGTAGCCAAACCGCCAGTAGAAGTGAAGCACTGCTCCGAAGCTTCTGTCACCAGATGGGGTGTTTTTTGTTTACATTCAGAAGCTCGCTTGACAGCGCTCTGATAGTATTTCGACCCACGACAGTTCCATACAAATTGGAAAACAGGACACTTCCGCATAAAAGAAATATTCATAGTGTGGTGGATAATAGCAATTAGTATACTTCAGTGACATTTACGCAAAAATCACCTCTTAAGTTATTATTATTTTTTTTTATTTATTATTTTTATTATTAATTTGTTTTATAAAATTCTAAGCTGTTGAACTACAAAAATATAGATTTTAGCAAAAATGTTATGCTTAAAGAATGAAAAGGAATACCTTACGGTACCTTTAAAATTGTATACATCTTTCGATACCCTTGATAGAGTATTCGCTACTTTTATTCTGTGTTCCAAATGTGAAAATGTTTTAAATAAAATAAATTTTTTTCACATCCACATATTATTGTTGTTACATGTACTTTTTAAAATTTCTTAGAGGAGAGGCTTTATTGTTGCTCATTTTAAACTCATCATTTTATTTTTATGTATCTGAAAAATAATCACTTTGGGCTTACACGCTTTACTTATTTGGGTTAATAAAAATAAAATTACCACCAAATGCTGCAATCCTCGTAGAAATGAATAAATATGCATACAGATATGCCAATAAGTTAACTTTTCCTTGATTTGTAACCCACATTTGTGTAAAATTATGTACAGTTTTGCACAAATGTGTGGAACAGAAGACGGATACATTTGCGAATTCGGCGGAAGTACCATGTACGGTCAATTTATAATGATAATTGTAAACATAAATTGAAATCCTGCTGACAAATGCGTTATAAAACTAATTTAGCAAGAATTGTTCATACTGGAAAGCAATCTCTGTTAAAAGGTATTGTAAAGCAAATTCTATGAGATGCGTACTTAAGAAAGTAATAAAGAAGAGCTTTGGCATCTGTATTGTTGAAATTAAGAGTCAAAAAATCTTATAACTATAATTAAAAGAATTATTTCCCTTACATTTTATAATAACTAAGTTACAAATTTTAAATAATGCTTTTTAAAAAAAATCCTTATTTTATTCCCTTTTAGAAATATTCAGAGAAAGTTAAGCACTATTTAAAGTACTTCGCTATTAAAATAAAAGGTGCTCTAATTTGAAATGGACCAAATAGAGCATTAATTATAAATTGACTTATATTTTTCGATTTAAAAGATGTCTCAGAGACTAAAAAATCATATCATATTTGAGAAAATATTTTAGGAAGAAGCTCTATAAATAGAAAAGGAATAATGCATAATTTTAATATAAATACCACAATAAACTTTGATCTTAATTTTCGTAATCCTTAACCAAATAAAATCGAATTACCTTAATTTTTTTCCCTAATGTAATTAACGAAAACTTGTGAAAATATTTCATTCAAGTTAAACCATTTTGAGCAAACTGTTCTGTGAAAAGTATAGAATTTAATTCCGTTCAGAATGAAGTTTATTTAAGCATGTATTCTTTTTCATATACTTAGGACTCTGAAGTATTGTAGAAAAAGAAAATATATACATTTATATGCATATTTACGACGTAATTACAAAATATTTACATCCCATCGTGTCAAAACACATTGAACTCAATGGTAAATTACTCAATGTTTTGGTCACCAACGAAGGGATCGCCAGTGCTTCAAAGCAGGGTATTGGAGAAACCAGTTAGGGCCACTCCATCTTACTTCCTACCTCCATGCTAGACACTCGGCAGACGAAAAGGAGAAATCGCTGCGCGCATGCGCAGATGCATTTCAGCTGCATCTTAATTTTCTTATAGTTGCCTTGTAAATTTGTATATAGTAGGTGTGAGTAATAAAGTGTTGGTGTGTTAAAATGTGTAGTCTCAGTTTTTCATTTATTTATTTATTTATTTTACCTGTAAGTTATTTATTAAGCAACATAATTGGCGAGCCAAGCCAGCCTGAATGTCGCAGAGTAGCATTATCGATTTCGGCACTTGATTGTTTATATAATTTACGGAAATAAGAGAAGTTCCTACGTGCAAACATGGAGGATTTGGAAATAGTAAAACAGAAGAGGAAAGCAATTAGAAGTGCGTTTACGAAAACAGCTAATAAGGTGCAAGACCTAATACGATCAGATTCTCCAGATTTGGATGAGTTAGATTTGGATGACTCTTTTTTGGAACTTCTACAGAAAAAAGTCTGTACTCAAGAAAAATACGAAAGGGAATTTAGTGCAGCTCAAGAATATTGCGATAAATTATCTACGTTGAAAGTAAAAGCCAATAGAAAAAAGGATAAGTGTTCACAACCTTATACGGGTTCAACGAATAGCGGTTCTTCATCAGGAACAGTTGCGACCGCAAAACAGAAACTACCAGAGATCGAACTGATGAAGTTGGATGGAGACCCTCGAAACTGGCTGACGTTTTGGACGAGATTTAGTAAACTAGATGAAGATACTCGCATCTATAAGAAAGACCAGTTTCTTTATCTACTGCAATCTACGAAACCTGAGACTGCGCCAAGAGCAATAGTGGAGAGTTCCGTGGAGTACCTCAAAGAACGATTTGGAAATGAAAATGTTTTAATTCAAATTTATGTTAGAGAACTATTAAAACTGATAATCAATGACAAATCACATTGATTTAAAAAGACATAAAGAATGATAATTATTAACTCTTAATGACAAGTTGCAAACTCAACTACGCGCATTGGAATCACTCGGTTTAACTAAAGATAAATTTGCAGCTGTTTTATTTCCTTTAGTGGAATCAGCACTTCCTGCTGATTTAATACAAATTTGTGAAAGACAATCAAGGGTATGTCTATTGAAGCAACAGGTAAGAGTGATTTGAATTCATTAATTGATTTTATAAAAAGAGAAGTAGAAACTGAATTTAAACTTACCCGTGATGTTTAGGTTCTGATAAAGTAAGTAATACGAAAAATAAGACTTTTGACACAAAACCTGTTGTTCCAACTGCATGTGAACTAATTAGTAGTAATAGTAAGTGTGTCATATCCTGCTTCTTGGGCGTATAGGTTCTGGATATATATTTAATTTCTACCGTAGGCGTATCGTAATGTGGGCATTGCATAAAACCAAACATTTAACGGCACAAAGACTTTATTAACACACGAACAAAACAAGAACAAATGATTAACACAAAAGTATAACTACGTATTTTCATTCACACTGGCATACAGCGGGTTAACTTCGCTATTAACTACTAACTACTCTTCTCTAGTAAGCCACATGAGAGAGAGAGAGAGAGAGGCGCTGCAGGCCGTTGGGCTAAAACTGCGCATGCGTGGTCATCACGTCATGACAAAGTGTAATGAAAATTTTCAAACGTATGAAAAGTTTGATACTTGTATTTTTTGTGAAAAATCTCATTTGTCTGAAAGTTGTAAGGATGCATGTTTACTGAGTTTAGATTGTAAGAAAGATAGCATTAAGAAAAAGAATGTTTGTTTTGTGCGTCTTAAAAAAACCATAGAGCAAATCAGTGTAAAGCTAAACATAGGTGTACCTTATGTAAAAACCGACATTTTGCGATTATGTGTCCTGATTTGCCTTCTAACAAAACAAAAAATGTCACAAAGTTAGAGAATGACGAAAACAAAATAGGCATTCCTAATAACTGTGTTAAG